GGAAAAAAAAAAAAAAAAACACACACACACACACACATTTGGGTTCAATAATATCAGTAATGGTCAATGAATTCACAAACTAGACTTATGCATGTGATTGATTAAGGTAATTCAGTACAGCCCAAGTTCACAGAGTACTGCAAATCAACAAAATATTGATTTCTTGTTAATCCCTTTTCATTTTTGACTTTTTGGAAATTATTACACAATGTACAACCATCTTATGCACTTAACCAGATAACATAAATTAGAATAAAAAGTTCTATCTGCAAAAAAGTGTCAAAAGCTCAATAATTCCATCAAACAAAATAATCAAAAAATTAGAATAAATTCGATCCAAAATTCCACCAGCCACAGAAAAATAATTGGATAAAGGTAATCAAACAAAACCCCCACATATACAAACAATACTGTAATTTTACTAATCATAATAATTTATGCTCTAAAACTCAAGAATCACACCATGGTACATATAATCAATCAAAATCAGTAAGCAAAAAACACTTAACAAATTATCTACAGAAACGAACAGTGTCAGATCAAGGGCAGGCGCAAGTACGAGCAATTGTGCGGGTTGAAGATGAACAGAAGAAAAAAAGTAGAGATAAATGGAGATTAAAATAAAAAAGCAAACAACAAAGAGAGCAAACAAGAAAGGTAATTGAATAATCGAAAACTGCTTTTGCTGTTTGAAGGATTTTGAGCAATTGGTGTTAGACGAATTGTAGAAGACGAAGGAGATGCAAGGGAGAGAGAAGAAGAAGACGGACGAATAGACAGGGGGAGAGAGAAATCGTATGATAATTATAGATCCCATTAAATTTGCTTTTACCATATTTAAAATAATTATTTGTTGCTCAATAATCTAGTATGTTTGTAAATAAATATGATAGTTTTAGTTAATTTACAAATAAATATATATAGGTTGTGTTTATGTAATAAAAATGTTAAGGTATAGTGGATGGTGTAATTTCCTCTATTTTATTTGATATTAGGGCGTCCGAGAATGAATAATGAGAATAAAGTATAAAATAATGAAAGCATAGAGATCCATTCAAATAAAAATAAGTCAGAAAAATATAGACATGCTATAGATTAAACGTATAAAAGTATAATATTAAATATATAAAATACACATATTTTTCGACTTGAGATTTTATCCATATATATATATATATATGAGTTTTGATTACGTTATTTACATTATTATTAGGCTAAATACCTAAGTGATATAGGTTAGTATGGAAAAAATAAATATAAAAATATATATGTACATAGATGGGTTAGTGATTTATCGTTAAATGTAAATTTATATATACCAAAAATATTTCGGATAATCGTTCAACGGTATACAAAAGCGTAATGGGAATCCACTAAGTCGGTTCCGCAGTAGTCTATTTGCTCTGACAATTATTCTCAACAACTATGACCAACCAAGCCTTATTTTCAACACAGGTAAACACACATACAGATATATATATATATATAAATAAATATATATATATTGATGTAGAGATGTATAGGAGACCAGGGCCAGGGCCTTATTTGTCTCTTAATAAGAAACTTGGGAGCAGTTTTTATGCTGGAAACCGAGACGATTGTTGGCCAAATCGTATTCCACGTAAACATTCTGCATCTGCCACAGACCCAACGTGATGGCAGGCCCGTCCATCTGATCCGTCTCACTATCTCCATCCAACCATATGGTCATGCAAATGACCGATTCGTTAAAAGACGCAAATAAATTTTCACGCGGCACAACCAACTCGGCCTCCCCTGGGAAACGAAAAACCAATTCTGGCAAACCTTTCATACCCGAATCACCAACATGATAACACGGCCCGTCCGAAAACAGCTCGTTCTCCACCTCCGTAGCCCTGCTGTAATTCGTCCCGACTTGCTTCTCAAACTCCTTCACGAACGGCTCGAACACGTGTACGTCCATGATGGAGAATGTGTACCCGGTCTCCATTTTCAATCCCCCGTTCCCATCATCATCCGGCGTCAGATACTCCTTCGGGACCTCGACCACGACTCCACCGACCAAAATCATTTCTACGCTCAAATAGTAATATGCCGTGTTGTTAATGAACGGAGTGTAGTGCATGATGTTTTGTGTCCCTTCGGCGTCAGATACTTCTTCTTCTTCTTCGTCGTCGTCTCCCCCCCAAGTGAGAACCAAAGAACCGCTTACATTGTGATTGTGTTGGTATAGCTCTGAGACAAAGCAGTGGGAGAATTTCGTGATCTTGAGTTGGGACGCGAGGGACGAAGAGGCGCGCCCGAACGCGGCGACCCCTATACCTTGCGGCCATCCAAATGAATCGGAAGCGCACCCGACAAGGAGATTGTGGGCCTTCTCTGTCACTCCGGGTAGGGTTAGGGACTCGGATAAAATAACCCCCGACATCACCAACGAGCCTTCGTCGTCGGTGTAATGCGCCAAGCACGAGGCGTTGGCGAGGGTGCATTCGTCGGCGAGAATCTCGTAGGGGACAATGTCTTGCAATAACGTGTCATTGCAATAAACTAGAGCGGAAGAGTTGGATAGATTGGCGTTGAATGTGGGAATGTCCTTGGGGTCGAGGGTGCAGTCGTAATCGCACGAGAAGTCGGTCCCGCATGGCATCGAGTTTATGACGGCGCTGGTGGAGAGAATGAAGTCAAGGCTTTGTGGCGGCGTGCCGAAGGAGAGGGTGATGGTGTCGACGCCGTTAGGGTCGGCAAAGAGAGGGGTAGTGGAAGAGATGTTTGCCGACGACCTGGCAAGGGACATCTGACGTAGCTGTTGCCGTAGGGTTTTGGTTGTGGCGGAAGAGAGGTTTTGCTTTTTAGGGGTGGAGAGGGATAGGGTTATGGAGTGGGAGTGGGAGGAAGAAAGTGTGAAAAATAGAGAGAGGAGGAGGAAGAAGGAGAGAGAATATTGTGAAGAACAAGACATTTTTAGTATGTGTAAACTGTAAAGTATAGCTAGTTGATGAAATAAATCATCTAAGGTTCCCGAATTTATAGAACTTATCCAAGCTGCCTAGTTTGTCATTTCATGGATAAACATCTTTTTTTTTATATTATTTTTTTCCTTGGCATGATGCCCAAAAGTTTAAGATTCGTAACTTTAATAAATGTGTCGTAAAAAATCAAGATTTTTTGTGAGGGACGATGTGATATGTACTAGGCATAACTACGACCCGAACCGGCCCATGATCATTAGGCCTTGAATCGGGTCTTATATATGTAGTTTTTGAAACGTCGGGCCAGTTCTTAACCAGAATCAAAATTGATATTTCGACCCTTTTTTTGTTTTTTTTATTTCTTTTATTATTTTATTTTTTTAAATGAATCGAGCCGGCCCTGAATCATCTATTCACCAAACCAACCCATGCCTATGTTTGGGTCGGTTCAGAGCCAACCAACCGTTGGCCTGGAACTGGTACGATCCGAATCGGATTTGGCCAATCTAATATGTAGGCATCCATTGATATACATAAGACACTTATACTATATTTAACAACCTTTCTAAAATTAAACAATGGTTTTAACAGTAATGGTATTTATTTCTTTTCCATCCACATAATAAAGCCCATGAGAAAGATGAATTATTTTCAATCCACCTAACAATTTTGGAAGATATTTTGATAGTTCAACATGTAGTATGGAGATTATTAGCGCACTACAAAGTTCACATCACCTGTACTAAATTGTGAATAAGTGTGAATTGTTTCATAAGTCGTGTCATCCGATTGTTTCATAACAAAATTAATTGTTGATCATGTACATGTGTGAAAATTATTTATAAGACAGACTATTATTTTACTTTTCAAATGCATGATAAATACAGAAATGTAATGAAAAATTAATTTTGTTATTATTCTGTCATAATTTATTATTTTTACTAATATGTATATATTAATATTTTTACATAATTCTGAATTGTAATGAAAATTTTTCTATATCAACAACTATTTTTCTGATAGAGTGACTTTGACACCACTTTCGAACTGCTCCATATCAGTAATAGTTATAAATTAAAGATGTGAGTAAACAATATTAAATAATAATTATAAATAATGATATGTGATTACCATATGATATAATTTACCTTATATCAGTTTAGTGTAAATAATATTAAATTATCTTGTATAAAGAACTAAAAAAATGTATATTTAAAATAATAAAATCACATTAAATATTATATATAATATATGAAAAGTATCTAACATTTTCTGTATTATTATTTAAATATGTGAAGTCACCTAAATTTTTTATAAACCATTTTATAAATAAAACATGTTTAAAAACATTTAAGGTTCACATTTTTATGAAAGATGTGAAATCACCTAGAATTTTTCTAAACTATTTTGTAATGAATATGTCTAAAAATATTTACATTTAACATTTGTATATATATGTGTATATGTTTAAGAATATATATAGATAGAATATGTAAAAACAATTGTCTCAACAGTATGTTCAAAAGATCTGAAATATTATAAGCCTACATAAAGACATGCTAAATTTTTTGAGAGAAGATTAATATAGTATATATAAAGTTACTATTGAGATGATACTGAGAATTACAACATCACTCTGGATTACGACATTCTAAAAATTTGAGTATAAAACATTCCAAAAATTAGTTTTTTGGAATAGGACATCACTTTTGAAAATTTGAGTACAAAAGATTCCAAAAATTAGTTTTATGTTGTTTCATACAGTTTAACAGTTTAGAATAATATGACTAGGCATGTAAACGACCTGAGCCGAGCTCGGCTCGTTAAATAAATGAGCCAGAAATTGAGTTCGAGCTCGGCTCGTTTATTACTATTAACGAGCCAATTTCGAGCCTTAACGAGCCGAACTATATAAAATTATATAAATATTCTATTTTCAAGCCTTAACGAGTCTTATCGAACCGAGCACAACGAGTTTAAGTGAGGTCGAGTTGAGCTCGTCAACGACTCGAGCTCGAGCAAAACTTGAGCCATCACAAGCCAAGCTCGAGTTGAGTCGAGTCAAACTCGTTTAATTTAACATAACTAAATATAACTATCTAATACTTAATAGACTACCTAAACAATGATCGCTTTTTTCAACTTAAATTACGTAAAAAAATGCTTTTGCATTAACTAAACGATGATTCTATTCATCGTCTCTCAAATTGCTATGTCACTTTTTTTAATTATTTTTTATTCTTCGGGCTACTTTATTAAGATTCTGTATCACTTTAAGAATGAGTTTTCAAATGTAAGGATTCGTTGGATATCTTTGATAGGTAATATGTTGACTCACGTAATAATAATAATAATAATAATAATAATAATAATAATAATAATAATAATAATAATAATAAAGTTAATTCACTTTTAAAAAGTATTTTCCACCGAAAACAGTAATTACCTACTATTAGTGAAGATAATATAATACAATTTAAATGAAAAAAAATATGTATGATTAATTTTAATTGGAGTAAAAATTGTTGTCATATAGACGGCTTTCAGTTTGTGTTGGTATTAGTTATTCTCCATTTCCTTCAATTACGCTGATAGTTGTTTGTTTAATATAATATAAATATATATATATATGATTGAGTTCCAAGCTGATAGTTGTTTGTTTAATATAATATAAATATATATATGATTGAAAGATGTTAAGTGAAAAAAATAAGAATACATCGTAATCATTAAATCAAATAGTCCAACATTTAAAAAAAAAAAAATCAACATGTATTTATTCATTAAGGGTATTTTAGACATTTTAACATTTAATAATCAATATGTTCCAACTAAAAAATCACCCAGACCCAATTATTTCACGCCACGTGGCTAAAACACCTCACACATCCCACACCCCTCTCTCTCACACACAACACACAAATACACACATACTCACGCATACAGGAAGTGGATGAACAACCCAACACCAGATGCCTGATTCCCTGCGGCGTATTGCCTGACCGACGGCTTAGGCGTCGTCGCACCTCCGTCAGACTGCCACGCCGCACGTACGTGCTGGAGCTCCAATCCGCTGGTTTCATCAGCCTCAACCACGAATCTCAGACAAACTCTGGCTACCGATTGCCATCGTCGGGATCTCTGCATCAACTGTCGCAGAACTCGCAGTCACGTGCACACATCGTTGTCGTTGGTCCATTGTCCGGAGCTCCACCACCGTCGTTCTCTATCCATCTCCATCGGCGATCGCTTTCACCCATCCTCGCTGGAAGTTGGCACCGAAGCTCAGGTCGCGACGGGAGAAGCTGATGACCATGGGGTTATGGGCCCCTTTGGAAAAGGAGGTTTGAAGGCCCAAGACGACCCGAGAAGGTCAAGCAAAGGTCCAAAGAGGCACGTGCATGGCATAGGAGACGTGCGCGAGTTCGTATGTGACTGATTGGTCGAAAAAAATGTATATTTTGAATATTTATTGGCGTATTTTTATATGTTTAGTTTTGTTGCACTTATATATTTTCGATTTATTTATTTCTTTAGATGGATTATTGAACTTTGATATTTTTATGTCTTATTTTTAAGATATTGAAGTATTTTCATAACCGGCATGACACCGAATGAGAATTGAGTAGGCCAATACGGGAAATCCATATCCGGCCCAATATAGGCCAATTAAGTTGGGACTTGTTGTTTGTTAATACTCATTTACTAAACACCGAACCCAAATACACAATACCGCACCCAAAAAATATAAAATTACCCTTACTAATATAAATAAATAAATAAATAAATAAATAAATCATAATTTAATTCATGAAAAAAAAATATGAATTAAGAAAATAATTTTTAAAATTAATTTTGATCAAGTAATTGTTATGGAAGAGCCGTTACAATTATTTTCTTTATGCTAATACACCCGACCATTTTTATGAGTGGGTGTGATTTAAAATTTGAGTACAATTTTGTAACTTCCTTGATTGGTTTATGCTCATAAATTATGGCATTCAAGCAAGTTATTTTGTAACTTAAAAATGAAATTAAATGCTGAAAATTTTGGAGGGAGAATAAAATTAATGTATGTGAATAAAATTAAATGTTTTGTTACTCCTCTTTATATATATATAGATGTAAACAATAAAAAATAATGTCTATTAAGTTATTTATCAGTTCTAATTAAAAAATCATAAAATTATTATTTATCAATTAAAATAAGTTTGTCTACCAAATATATTATGTTGAATTGGTTGAAAAAAATATTGTAATATAGGATCTATAATCGTGGTTTTGAAAAAAAAAATAGTTACAATTTTTTCAAAATATTGAAAACTAAAATAAAATTTTATAACTTTTTTATTTCAAAAACATATTTTTCAATTATAAANATTAAAAAATGTATAAATATTAAAAAATGTATATATGATTAATGAAAAATATTAATAATATATTATTAAGAAACAAATATACTAATATTTAAAATATATTAATATGTATACTAATTATTAGTTTAAAATTTTTTATTTAGGCTGATGAGTATGTTCCCGAGTTCGAGGGTTCTGGACCCCGACACACATCCACTCGTAATGTGAATGCTTCCGCTCGGCGGGAGAGGGAACGGATGCGCCTTCATGCTCGCACGGTACAGACTGCCCAGGCTGGTAGTTCGAGACATCTTGTTGCTCCGATACAGAGTGGTCAGCAGCCTGGCCCACTCATGCCTCAGTCTGGCCCACTCATGCCTGGCAGTTCGAGTGGTTAGCAGTCCTTGTCAGTGATGCCTAGCAATTCTGGACGTCTCCCGACTATACGTATTGTTCATCGGCGGGACTCCATTGAGTCGGCAGTCAGGAGTCCGGGGGATGATGATAATGATTATGATGATGACGACGACGAGCAGGCCTATGATGATGACGAGAAGACATATGATGACGAGCAGGCCTATGATGATGACTTTGATGCAGCTGAGCAGCCACAGACCCAGCCACAGGCACGTCCA